TTTGTTGAAAAAGAAAATAGGATATGCGATAAAAAAAACTACTAGAAGTTTTGAAGCCGATTTCTCAACAACGATTATTATGATCTGAGTTTATTAGTGAGAGTTTCAACAATAACTACCCACAAGCCACATACCAATATTTAGAGATTTAAAGATGATGAGGTTTCTTTTGAATGTAATGTTTTCAAATGTGTAGAGATTGTTTGACTGATGATAATATTTAATCTGCTCAGAACATGGTTTACTTGAGACAATGAGAACTTCAAACAAGACCTTACACATTATCAACAAACAAGAATGATAATTGAAACGTAAAGCGTCTAGATAATTACTAACTTGAGTGTTTTTTGCAAACTAAGTGTGTGATAGAATGCCATACAACTTCAGTCTTAGATCACCTATTGTTGCAAATAAAATGTTTCTTCAAATGTACCAGGCTAAGCATTCTAGGGTTCTTACTACTATGTTTTTGTCATCCAGTTCTCAATGTAATGTTGGTAGAGAGATACGAAGAAAATAAGAACTAAGTGAAACACTCCAACGAGATGAGTTTCACCGTATCACAATTGCACACATAAAATATGAAAAATGAACAAAGAAATTAGTGAAACAATCGGCATAAATTAATGCACAAAAACCTGCAACTCACGCCTAGTGTCCTGTGATTAATGGAACCCCGTGTAGAAAGGCTAGTTGTTTGTTAAAAATTAGAGAAGGGTATGGATGACGAAGCGGAGAGATAAGGTTTCAATATTAGGAGGGGGAATGGAAATAATGGATAGATCTTGGAGAATGAAACAGGAAAGGGAAATATGCAATGATCATTTTACCTTATAAGTGAAAAATTTTATGTTCGGCTCGTAGCTCGTATAGATGACAATCAAGTTTATGTTTGCCTCATATAGATAAGGATCACGTATCAAATTTGTACTGGATTCTATATCCAAAGTCGATAGGAAAATAAGACAGGTGAATGAACTTACAAATACTGGGTTAAACTCGTTAAAGATAAAACAACGGGGAAGTGTTTTATTGGTTGACTCCACAAATAGTGGGCCCAACCATATGTAACGGGTGGATGGACGATCAAGATTTAAACTCGGGAATATCAGGTAGAAAGCCCGAACGGGGCAGATAATCCAGGTCCGCAAATGCTCGGTATATAAAGCGGTGGAAGTGGGGAGGAGTAGGGCTCGGTGCTTCGTGAATTGGGAGGAGGTTTTACAGAATTCTTCTCGTTCGCTTCGTCTAATTGCTGAACAGTCAGTCTCCTCTCCAGCAACAAAAATGGCGCCGCCTCCTGGCCCATATTCTGGAACCAGCACCCTAGCCTTGGTATTAATTCCTCTGAAATTTTCTCTTTTTTTTTTCTTTTCGTTCCGGATCTAACTAATTTTTTATTTGATTTTATATTTTGGGAAAAAGATGAGAAGTTTGTGGATTTTGGACCAATTTCGTAATTGTCAATCTAATTGGTGATTTGGGGTTTTCGGGATTTGCAGGTGGCTCGTGTTTCCGCATTCTCCTTTGGACTCGTATACGGAAGCGTTAAGCTCAAGTATCTCAAGGTACTTCCTTTCCTTGTTTAAAAAAAAATAAATTGACCCTTTTTTTTTTTTATGAGTTAATATTGTGTTTGTGATTAAAATTGCGTATTGGGTTTGTTTTAATTTTTGTAGATTTTAATATGTAATGTGGATTTTAATTGATGTTGGTCAACCCGATTGTGTAGACTACTTTTTGTATTCATAATATGGTTTCATTTTCTTATGAAGAATTTGTGTATTTTCTTTGTTTTAATGGAAGAGTATAAGCACCATTTGAAGAACTGATATAGTAGACGTCTACCTTTTGTTAACATGTGTGAAAGTAGCAAAGTGTATGTGGAATACGTTACAATTGGAGCCCGTTACAGTTATGTGATAGTGTCAGAACTTTAGAAATAAAGCTAGGCTACGTTATAAATTTTGTCCATTAATTTATCACTGTGCAAGGAATGAACTCTTCTTCACCTCCAATCCAAGTATGCTCAAGCTGTGAAACTCACCTAATGGATATTGATGTGTAAGGGTGTTTTAGAGGGGCTCTGGGAATAAAAATAATTTCAATACTTCGATTATTGGCTATGCTTGTAAGAAGCCCGAGTCTTTAGAGCAATGGTTAAGCATAATAATGCAGCCCACTATGTTAAGATGAAAGAGTTCAATTGGAAGTAGGTGTAAGAAAGAAACAAATGCAGGTTATGCGGGGAAAATTGTAGAAGTAAACTTAAAAGAGTTCAACTGCAGTTTCGTTTCTAGCATCAGTTCATCCATTGAAATAAATAAAAGCATTTCTAAAGTCTTAAATGCATATGAAGTCTTTTAAGTGAAACCAAATTATTCAAAAGGAAACCAAGCTGCTGTAAACGGTTTAGTGGGTTCTACTTTGAGTGAGTTGCACTTTGAGATTGGTTGCAAGGACTTCTCACTTCATGATCACTTCTAGGTTGAGCTATTAAATCTTAACTCAAGCTGCATGCAGCCAATCCAATGTCTTCACTGTAGCTTCTTAGTGGTTTAACAGTCAACCTGCAAGCACAACTTACACAAACTCACTGTCAAAATTCAAGTCTTCAATACAAGGTCTGATTTGACAGAACAATTAGTCACTGCAAATGTGAATGTAGTAGCATATGTTTTATAGAAACAATTACAAGTGTGAAGGGAAAAAGAAAAATGACGAGGCTGCATATAGAGTTTTGTGAAAAAAGAAGAAAAGGGAGGGATTTAGGAAAATATTTGCTAACCATTTGTCAACGTGTTGATAGAATTGTCATATAAATAAGCACAATGTCCAAAACAATGCTCGAGTAAAATGTGAGAGAGAAATAACCCTTTGTGAATTGCTGGATTTTAAGGTAATAATTAATTGCCTGAAATTAGGGGCAAACCTGAGATTTACCTTCAAATGTGAAAGGAAGTCTAGCAGCAGTGTCCTAGAAAGGAAGTAGGGTTGCTCCAATTTGCCAAAACCGGAAATGGAGAATGAAAGAAGTCAAAGGGTTAACATTTTTAACCACCTATCAATTTACTGTAGTATACTTTGCTCTAATCATGCCCAATCAAAACTTCACCACAACTTAATATGTGTATATATGTTATCATTGTCAAATTATAAGGACACGGGTCTAGTATTTGACTAATTAGCTTTCCCCTTTATTTAAATTGTTAAGCTGTTCAACCCAATGTTGATGCTAGCATATAATGCAATGTCAAATTATTTGTTTTATGTTGTTTGAGTTGTGCAACTCTTGTGCCTGTTTGTTGGATTGCTTGCACCATGTCGTTCTATTTGTGCACGAGTGCTTATTTCCGTTTTTGGTTTTCTCCCTGCCAAGGCAAAGGCTAAATCTGAACAAAAGGCTGCGGCAAAGGCTCATCACTGAAGGAGATGTGTTCTACCAGAAGTTGTGAATGAAGAATGAGTTGGTTTTCAGATATAAATAATACGTAAGGGTGGACTGTACCAATATTTCGCTTAAAGCTTTTGTGGATCATGAAAACTTTGCTTAAAGCTCCAGGTTTTTTTTGAACTGAGAATTATGAATTCGGTACTTAGGATGCTTTAGATTTCCACTTCATAGCGATGATTTTGAGGGTAATGTTCCCTTGATTAATAAGATGCTTATCTTTTTCAGTCTTCAATTTTGGTATTCGGTGATTTTGTTATAATGGTTAATTGTCATTTTGCTATTTGGTAATGTTCCCTTGATTAATATGATGCTTATCTTCTTCAATTTTGCATTGCATGCCTTAGTGCAGATGCAAAACCTGTAGATTTTGGGCTCGTTTGATATGTTGGATTGGATCGGAATTGGTAACTCCTTAATTTCAAGGCATATTGAAGGTAGAAGCGAATAAATTTTCATTTGGAAGGGGATTGGAAGAGGATTAGACATGAAGAAAACTCATACCATTTTGGAAAGGATTGGAATGGACAAGTTTATGCAATGATTTCATCTTTCTATCACTAGAAGCTTTGTATCAAGTGGTAGCAGAGCACCATATCTGAGGGTGGTTTATGGTCCTAACTCCCGGCTGACGTGAAATAGTGGTGAAGAACTTTGCTTGTAAGGGAAAGCCAAGGTGCAAGCGGAGCAACATGACTGGAAAAAACAAACCCAAACCAAACTTGAACAAGTTGAAACTCTAACAACATCAATTTATAAGATGGTGGAGACACATTTATAGGGCGTACCCCTTGATGTCGTGCTACGCATCCACTCAAATTATAACGCACTGAGTTCAGAATTTACGTTAACTATTGCAAATGTGTTTAAATTTGTGCAAATTTGTAACACCTTGTCATCACGAGACGTGGTGGTGTGACTATCATCGCCAAGGGGCTAGATTTGTTTTTGCACCACTAGAAAAAATTTATTCATTTTCATCCTTACCTCTACTCACCGACTCCTGCTTTTGCCAATCATACAACATTAATTCCCGACATGGGGTGAACGGAGTCCAAGGCTCGTTGATGTGCTAATGCTAAATTTTCAGTTGTGTCCCCGTAAACTGACCACCGGACGAGAATAACGTGCTAGTGCTTCAGCGCCTTATGGAGTATAAGCATCAGTAACTAGTAGGTGGTATCGGTAGGTAAGCGACCCTAGTGGAACAGAAACAGTAGAAGATCACAAAGGCAGACAGGTTTATAAGAGAACTCCATTCGCATCATATGGATCGTCAATTTCGTGAACTATCTAGCACTATAAATACCACAATTTCCGCTTCTGGATTCAGATAACCAAAACAAAAAGCAAATCACAAGCATTCCTGTAGAAACTAACAAAAATATTATAGGTAATTTTAGAAGGCGTGACATGGTCGAAGCTCGTAATTCAGATGATGGGGCTCCAGCTGTGAAGAGTTTTCTGTCTAGGTTAGAGTTGTGACTTATGGCGCTCACCTGCATCACAGAAGATAAATAATATACTATTAACACTTATTTCAAGCGTAATAAAGTAAATGAAACGTGTGTAATATTGCACCATTACAAGCAGTCCCAACCCCCAAACAAACTCCTCCGGAGGGAGGTGTTCAGAGATCAAACCCCCTGAAAACATGTTCAGAGATCAACATTGCACCATTACTATTCTTTCCTAAAGTAGATCCCAACAACCACGCAATGCTTGCACCTAAATAGACCAAGCATTACCAAACTAAATTGCAGGTCATCGGCTTCATTTAAATTATGTCTGATTATAATCCATATAACCCACTGCAACTAAGAAAGTCAAGCAAATGAAACAAACCCGTGGAAAAGCAAAGCCATGCCTCAATCCAAGATAGCATTATGCTCAGAGACTGGGGCGAGTAACTACTTTATGTATATAATGTCTTCATCAGGGTCATCACCCTCCCAATCTCCGTCATCCTCAGGTGCCTCGGATGGTTCCAATTGTTCGTCATCTTGAATTTCTGAATCTTTCTTTTCATTCTTTATCTTATCTAATATAGCAATCACCTGAAATGATTCACCATTCACGTATTGTATTAGCATATATTGACACCCCCTTAAAAGCAATTTTACAAGCACACAAGTCCAGTCGAGATAACCAAGTAATAAACAGAAAACTGAATGCACGTTGGAAAATGTCCAAATAGCGATTATCTTGCACGACAAAACTTTTGCAATTCATGGATGCATAAGCAACCTAGAGGGAACTCAACCTTTTTTCTTTTGATTTTTAATTTGCTAATCACTCAAAGAAACCATACAAGTTGATTATTTATGAGACAACTAATACAGTGCTGCATATTTTACTTTCCCTAATTTTGACAAGAGTATTATTAATACTCTTTCACAGGTGCTCGTTTTACATGACACAATCCACATAACCCGCTAAGAGAAAAGTTCATGATAGGTTGAAACAGCACATATAACCATATAACCTGAAATTGATCCAGAAAATAGAATAATCCTAATCGATATAGATTAGTTCAGTTTACTATATCACAAACAAAAATATAGACATAAACATGGACGATGTAACATCAAACTAGTGTATTACTGACTTTCATTCATATTGTGTAGGACTTAATATTCATTATGGTAAACAGATTGCATCATAAGGGTTGACACAACCTGTTTGAATTTATCGATTATTGTGTGGGATCAATTGTCAGTGTGGATCAACCAGAAACACAAACTGGCCATAATCATTCTAAATGGGTTGGTCAATATTTGGTCAACCAAAGTCTGGTAACTTCATGTTCAGTTCAACTGGCATTCGCAGATTATGTCACAAAATACTCCTGCTTCAATTTCTAAGCAGAATACCATGATTAACAAGCCTTGTCAACCTTTATGTGCAATCACACTTGGCTAATCTTTTGACCAACGTATATCAGAACCTTAATTAATGCAAGAGGAACCAATTGTGTTGCTTTCCTCGGTTATAGATATGTAGATAATCATATCCAATGAAAATAGTATAGTATTAATCTTACCCTGCTTCCTCTCTCTAGAGACTCATCTTCTATGAAGCGTATCTCAGGAGTTAACCGCAGCTTCATACGCCTTCCTAATTGACCTCGGACATATTTGGCTTTTGATTTTAGCCCAGCAAGGGCAACCTCCTTCCCTCTTTCATCGCCAAAAATAGAAACATAGACTTTAACCACCTGTAGTGAAATAAACAAACTATAGTTAACTAGAAGTCCAAAACCATAGATTGTCATCACATGATGAAGATTACCATCTTTGCTGAAGCATTGAAGGTAGGTACTATTTGAAACAACCAAAAATATTGGTAAAGAAGGTTTCCCTAGTGTCATTAAAATGGGAAATTAACAGGAACTGTTAAACATGCTACAGAATTCTCCCTAAGAAGGAAAGGTCAAACAAGATAGCAAGTACTTGAACGATGAAGGTATATGACCAAAGTCGGGCATCCTTTTAAAGTATAAAAAAGTTTTGAACCTTAGACGTATCAAACAACTTTCCCACCTCATAACCATTTTAACCAAGGCCTAAAGAAAGATACGAATAGCAAAGCGCAAGTTTGTTATATATAATGTCACATCGACGCATGATTACAATGTACATAAGCTACTACAGGAGCTTGCCAAGTCGATAATGGAGGGAATCATGTGGGAAAAACAGAACTGAGAAGTACTAAGGAAATAAAAGGATGTTACTAACTGGGGTCCACACAAGGGAGTTTATCTTGACAATTTCAGGAGCTAGTAGCCTTGTGCTATAAACATTCCACATTTGAAAGAGAATAAGCTGGAACTTACGCAACAGTTAGAAACACAACCACTATAAGGTGATGACTTTTTAATTGCACAATGTCAAAGAAATTGATAATACAACTTAGAACATAACTGAAAAATGATATAACATGGCATTAAAAGGTATTTGGAATGCGTTGGAGACAAATGGGCGCAAATCGGGGGGCTTGTAACTATCAAGAACAACATGAAAGTAACCACATTTCAGTAGCTTGGTAGCAATGTAAAGTTTGGAACATGTTCTTCCCTCCAATATTATCTTAGTAACTTGCTCTACTCAGTTCAAACGGGTACAAAACCCTGGGCTTGTAACTTTCCATATGAACATGAAAGCGAAAAATAAAAGCAATTCTACGTAACGCAATATGGGGGCATCTATTGCCATTTCAAAGCAAGAACAAAAACAGCACGAAAACACATAAGCACAAACTTAAGCTACTAAAATTGTTTCCCCTGCCTCCCCATTTACATAAAACACCAAAAACAGCACGAAAACACATAAGCACAAACTTAAGCTACTAAAATTGTTTCCCCTGCCTCACCATTTTCCTAAAACACCATCACAGCAATGAAAAGCTCTACAATTTCAACCTAATACAGCCAAATTTCAGAATCAAAACGACGAAGAAGCGTACATATGCAAGTAACTATGTACCTGCAAGTCGGTGGAGACTTCAACATCGCTTATGGTGGTTAGGGAAGAGAGGTAACGGTCAGCACCCAAAGAAACCTCAGGAAGAATAGCGTACTGCAAGACCTTATCAGTTAAGAGCATGTCAGACAGCTCCCTCCTTATCTGCTTAGCCACCATTGCCACTCTGCGCGGGTTCGCCATGCACCTGATGGTGTTGGGCCGCCAACGGAGCAGAACCGCATGATTTGTTGGGGGAAACGAGGCCGTTGATTTCTGGGTCCGAATTGGAAAGCTTGATGATGATGATGATGATGATGATGGGAGGTGGGAAAGGAAGGGGGTGAGTGGTGGGCGGTGGAGGACCAAGTTTGGCATTGCTGATTGCTGTATTCTATCCCAGCTCTTCTCTTCTCCTCTTTGATTTTATTTTATTCTTTGTGTGTTGAATTCTTACTTTCAAGAATTTGCTTTGAGTCATGAGCAAGAGGAGGATATTGTTTTTTTTTTACATTTTTTGTTTTTTTTGTTTCATGGGGAACACTGAAGATAATTTGCGGGACAAAATATATTGTTTTAACGGTAAACATCGGAACTTGATATTAACCACCCGAATTGTCTTCTTTTTTTTTTACATTAATTAAAAGATTATATTTTTAAAAAATAAAATTCAGTGAGAATAATAGAGTGTAAACGACAATCGACACTCAAATATAAATAAGGATTTATGATTATGAATTTCGAAGTTGAGCCTTCAACGAAAGTTGTGAAGTTTGCCACTACGAGCGATTGTGTAATTTTTTTTTACTTTTTTCATACTTCTACATTTATTAGTATTAATTTTAATTAATTTTTCACTCAAACAAAAAAAATATATATATTCATCAGGGTTTTGAGGGTTTTAAAAATCTCAAAAACAATGTAACATTTGTCTAAGCATAGAGAATCAATCACGAGCGTTTATATATTCTTTCATATTTTTTAATTTATACATTCATTATTATGAATTTTTATTTATTTTAAACTCCCTAAAATCACTACTCATGAGGGTTTGCAGGGGTTTAAAAATTCAAACTATTTGCATATTTTTTTCACATTTTTCACACTTGTAAATAAATTAATATGATTTTTTTTAATGTGCTTTGGTATTTTAAATTGCTTTGTATTTTTAATGTGCTTTGAAATTTTTTAATCTCACATAAATACTATGGCCATTGTATTAAAGGAAAACTAATGAAAAATGGCTTGAAAACTTTGAGTTTTAACGATAATGACCAAATAAAGGGAAAAGTGAATAGTATCAAGATTGACTTTTTAGCGTAAAAATGTGGTTTTTCGTTAAAGTGAACAGTACCGAGAGCATTTCATTAAAATTCCCTTGTATTAACTAGATAGGTTTTTTGTCACATCCCGCCCCTGGTCCACCACATCTCAGGCCCGTTCCACCACTGTAGCACGATATTGTCCACTTTGGGCTTACCATTCCCTCACGGTTTTGTTTTTGGGAACTCACGAGCAACTTCCCAGTGAGTCACCCATCCTGGGAGTGCTCTGGCCTTCTTCTCGCTTAACTTCAGAGTTCCTACGGAACTCGAAGCCAATGAGCTTCCGAAAGGCCTCGTACTAGGTAGGGATGAGAATATACATTTAAGGATCTCTCCCCTGGGCGATGTGGGATGTTACAATCCACCCCCCTTAAGGGCCCGACATCCTCGTCGGCACACTTCCGGCCAGGGATTGGCTCTGATACCATTTGCCACATCTTGGTCCGGGTCCACCACATCCCGGGCCCGTTCCACCACCGTAGCACGATATTGTCCGCTTTGGACTTACCATTTCCTCACGGTTTTGTTTTTGGGAATTCACGAGCAACTTCCCAGTGGTTCACCCATCCTGAGATTGGTATCACCCAAACTCGCTTAACTTCGAAGTTCCGATAGAATCCGAAGCCAATGAGTTCCCAAAAAACCTCGTGCTATAGGGAGGGGAGCATGTACATATAAGGCACATCACCTCCTAACATCCCATATCGCCCAGGGGAGTGATTCTTAAATGTATATTCTCATCCCTACCTAACAGGAGGCTTTTTGGGAGCTCACTGGCTTCGGGTTTCGTAGGAACTCCGAAGTTAAGCGAGAAGGAGGCCAAAGCATTCCCAGGATGGGTGACCTACTGGGAAATTGCTCGTGAGTTCCCAAAAAAAAAAAACCGTGACGGAATGGTAAGCCCAAAGCGGACAATATCGTGTTACGGTGATGGAACGGGCCCGGGATGTGGTGAACCCGGGTCGGGATATGACAAATGGTATCAGAGCCAATCCCTAGCCGGAAGTGTGCCAACAATGACGTCGGGCCCCTAAGAGGGGTGGATTATAACATCCCACATCGCCCAAGGGAGTGATCCTTAAATATATATTCTCATCCCTACTTAGCACGAGGCCTTTTGAGAGCTCACTGGCTTCGGGTTCCGTAGGAACTCCGAAGTTAAGCAAGAAGGAGGCCAGAACACTCCCAGGATGGGTGACCCACTGGGAAGTTGCTCGTGAGTTCCCAAAAAACAAAAACCGTGAGGGAATGGTAAGCCCAAAGCGGACAATATCGTGCTACGGTGGTGGAACGGGCCCGGGATGTGGTGGACCCGGGTCGGGATGTGACAATGGATGACCCACTGGGAAGTTGCTTGTGAGTTCCCAAAAACAAAACTATGAGGGCATGGTCGGGGCCCAAAGCGAACAATATCGTGCTACGGTGGTGGAGCAGGCCCAGGAAGTGGTATGCCCCGGGCCGGGATGTGACAAATGGTATCAAAGCCAATCCCTAGCTGGAAGTGTGCCGACGAGGACGTCGGGCTCCTAAGGAGGGTGGATTGTAACATCCCACATCGCCCAGGGGAGTGATCCTTAAATGTATATTCTCATCCCTACTTAGCACGAGGTCTTTTGGGAGCTCACTGGCTTCGGGTTCAGTAGGAACTCCGAAGTTAAGCGAGAAGGAGGCTAGAGCACTCCCAAGATGAGTGGCCCACTGGGAAGTTGCTCATGAGTTCCCAAAAACAAAACCGTAAGGGTGGGGTTAGGGCCCAAAGCGGACAATATCGTGCTATGGTGGTAGAGCGGGCCCGAGAAGTGGTCTGTCCTGGGCCGGGATGTGACATTTTTAGTAGTTTAAAACTATCAAACTAACATTTTTCTTTATGGTTACCCGTGCGTAGACCCCGTTAAGAGCTTGTTATTAACTGGTGACCCGATTAGTTATCGTGTTGATCCGAAATGTGCTATTTTCGGGTGCTATTAACAGGTCGTGTAAAAAATTATCTGGTCTAAAAAAGACTAGAAAATTGTAGTAAGAATTGTCTGGTCTAAAAAAGACTAGGAAATGGTAGAGGAAGATGAGGAGAAAAATTAGAAATGTCGAAGAAGAAGTCCAACTTTGGAGGTTGGACAAGAAGAAGAAAGAAAATAAGGAAGCAGGAAAGAACAAATGAAGAAGAAAAATAGCAGAAAAAAGAAAAGGAACTTATATGCCATCTCCAAGGGAAAGGGCGAAAGTCTAAAAGCCAAAAAAGTGGCATCATTTGCCCAAAACTTCATCTCCAACCGATGGTTGGACTATAATTTTATATGGCCTACTATACCATTATTTGGCCAAATGTAACCTCCCTCTATAGTCTTAACCCATTTTTGGGGGCCCAGCTCCTTTGTTAAATAATTGATTCAAATTCAACGATTAAATTTAAAAACATTCAACAGTTAGGTTAATTAAATTAAGCAATAAATTTCAAATATTAATTTAGAAAACTAATAAATTATTGTGAGAGCTATATTTAGCCCATTCGGTTGAAATACTATTTATTTAAAAATAATTTTTTACACTATTATAATTCTAAACGAAATTATATTAATATTTCAGTTAGGCCATCTCTAACCGAGGGCTGGCCAGAGGGCTCGTTTTAGCCCTCTGGCCCTCCAAGATTCCCCAAGATATTAATATTTTAATGAACAGTACAGGGCCATATTGGCCTCTGTCTCCAACCGAGGGCCAAAGGGCCAGAGGGATCGTTTTAGCCATGTCACAAAAAAACTGTCTCCAACCGAGGGCCAAAGGACCATAGGGCCAAACATAATTTATTATTTAAAAACTACAATTTAAATTCAAATCTAACGGCTAAGTGACGTCAATATGATGTCAGCTAGCCGTTGGTAACTGACATCATGCTGACGTTAGCTAGCCGTTGGATTTGAATTTTTTTTTGCTATAAATAGGGTGGATATTGGGCTATAATTCACACAACTTTAAATTCAATCTATTTCAATTCAATCTCTTGCAATTCAAGTTTGCAATGAATTCCAACTTTGGATCTTCATCCAATTCCAATTGGGGGTCCTCATCCAATTCCAAATTGGAAGCAAAATGGGCGCAAATGAGACGAGAAGATGAGGAGTCTGATAAAGAAGTTCAAGTAAGGCGCAACAAACAAAACATGGCAGCAGCCATGGCTGTGGCCATGGTGTGTCAGCCAACTAAGGAACAACCTCAATGGGGTGGCTCTGTTGCTGGTCGCTCTTACAAACCACGAAACAGAGCAATGGCGCATGTCAATCTGATGAACAACTACTTCAACCCCAACTTGGTGTACACAGAAGAGGATTTCAGACGTCGCTTCCGGATAAGACGTCATGTCTTCGAGCGTTTACTTCGTGATGTCTAGCAGGTTAATCCATACTTTCGACAGAAGCAGGACAGAGCAGGCCGCCCTGGTTTCTCACCTCATCAGAAGGTTACTGTTGCACTCCGAATGATGGCATATGGCTCCTCAGCTGATTCGATGGATGAAACCCATGGTATGTCTGAGTCTACATGCCTTAATACTCTTGAAGAATTTTGTAACACAATTGTTCAGGTTTACAAAGACGAGTACCTCCGAGAGCCAAATCAAGAAGATCTGAATCGGCTCCTTCACAAAGCTGAAGACCGTGGGTTTCCGGGCATGATAGGGTCATTAGACTGCATGCATTGGGATTGGAAGAACTGTCCCACTAGATGGCAAGGAGGCTTTAGCGGAAGGTCGAGAAAGCCAATTGTTGTGTTAGAGGCAGTTGCCTCATATGACACATGGATCTGGCATGCTTTCTTTGGAGTCCCTGGATCCCAAAATGACATTACAGTTCTTGGGCGTTCACCCCTTTTCAATAACTTGACGGAAGGTAAAGCACCTCAACTTGACTACTACATCAACGGCCGTGAATACAATATGGGGTATTACTTGGCAGATGACATCTACCCAAAGTGGGCGACACTTGTCCAAGCAATTCCAAAACCTAGGAATGATGCAGAAAAGTTGTTTACCTTACACCAAGAGGCATACCAGAAAGATGTTGAGAGAGCTTTCGGTATTCTACAAGCACGGTGGAAGATTATCAGCGAACCGGCAAGAGGGTGGAGTTGAGAAAATTTGAACTCCATCATGATGTCTTGCA